TTCATTGATTCACAGGAATATAATGAAATAATATTTTGACATATTTTCTAGTAACTATTAATTTAGTTTAAAATTTTTATATCAGCAGATTAGCCAGCATATATTTTATCGGCACAGACTCATGTGAAACTATAAAGGATTATCCAAAAAGAAACCAGAATACACACTTAAAACCTAATAATGATGATTTTACCTGCAAACGTTGAATTTGTAGGAACAGTGTCTGAAATAATCATAAATTACTATTATTGGCAGGAATTGAAAAATCTTTTAAAAATTCTACATCTCATGGGGGGGCAAATCTACAACTAAAGGACACGGGGAGCACTAAAGGGAGGGAAGGGCAGGCCTTTGGGCGAGGCAAAGACATAAAGTGTAACTACAGTGTTTGTACCCTCACAAAACCCTGGAATAATAAATAAATAAAAAAAAAATTCTACATCTCAACTTGTCTATAAGTCATCTCTTTTTTATTTTACTTCTTCCACTTCCTAATAAAAAAAAGGAGTAGGTCATGTATGCTTTCGAAGCTTATGGGGATTTCCTTTTAAGATATGTGTTGCTCAAAAGTAATCCTTCGATTATTTAATTCTTTCTATATTGATTCTCACTTTCTATGCCGTCCCTTCATTAAACAATTTTGACTGATGCTCACTCCCTCAATTCCCAAAACCTACAGATAGGCAGGGGTACACATGCAGCAGGAGAAGCCCTCATGTGTATCAGCCATTGCCCCATTTGACAGTTGTTCAAAATGTCTTGGCGGCACCGGTTTTGAAGAGTGACCGGCCATGAACAATCACACAGGGATGGATTGTGCCAATCCCCTGAGGGGCAGTCTAGAGCATTAAGTACCTGCTTCTCTGGTGTTGATGGTCTTAAAAAAGATCCCAAAACCCTTATCTGATCTTTCCTAAACCGATTAGTGTAAAATGTAATGACTCACCACTGCACACCAACTCTCCTGCAATACAATAGCTGAAAGTTAAATTTAAAAAGAAAAAGAATGAGTTTGAAATTTTGACTCCTAATGGCATATTGTCTAACAGTGAAAATCAAACAGAGTCAAATAAAAGTAAATAATTGCTTCCCCAGAAACATACTATCAGTTCGAATTGCTTTTTTCATGTACTATTATTCCCAGTCATTTCACTAAAGAGTTCTTGGCTCCTTAAGAAATGGTTTACAGTCAAGCTGCAAAGTTCATTCTTACATTAGCGGTTTCAAACATGATGTTATTTGATGGTCATGCTATTCTAGTATGACTCCATCGATTTGCTTCCGTGTAACTGTTTGAAAGCCTGTAAACATGATTTTACATTTGCAAAATTAAAACTTTCTTTTTTCCCTAAAGCTACATCTGATATTTTCTGTCCTGTCTTCCGCATTATTAAGATTCAACAAATCATTTGTTGATATGTGGGTTTTCTGGCAATACAAAATAGCTAACACAACTGATATAAAACTAAACCTAAAGCTAGCCTTCTCATTTAGAAATGGCAGGATCAAAAATTATTTAAAAATATATAATATTCATTATTAATATAATACATACATACTTTTTTCTAAATGAAAATATAAAAATTAGAATTGCTTATTGGAAAGTTAGTAGAGAATATACCAGGTTCTTCCACAATTATCTTCAATCACTCCCCCTGCTGGTATGATATCATTATAGAAGCAGCTGCACTCAGTTAAACTGACACACTTCATGGTGTTCTCGTCCAGATAGGGGGCACTGTCTGGGCACTTAGCGTAACAACCTGTACGTAAAAACGACCCACAGTTCATCTCTATTTTCTGAAACTCGTTATACATTTGTAAAGTTACTTAAATGATTCCATGAACTCAAATACATAACAGCAAAACAACACATTCATAACGAAAATATAGAAACAGGACAAGATTCATATCCTTTTGCAGTGAAATAACCTAAGAACTTAGAAATTTTGGTCACTTTAATTTTTTTGTGTGTTTCCTAAAGTATTTTTAAATGATTTGCTACTTTAATGACAAGCATGATGTTGAACAGAAAACATAAATACGTATGGTAAATACGGTAAATAGCTTGAAATGGGAATGCCAATTCCAGATACCCATTTTCGCAAGAGTAGGTAGATACTGAAGTCATAACAAAATGGGCTGAAAATATCCCAAAGCCTAGGGATTTAACACAGGTGTGACTTTTGGAAACGTTCTGCATTACCTTGTTTTCTTACTTTTGTTCTTTCTCTGTAAAATACACAATGCTAACAATAAAATTCTGTTTAAGTGTGAGATACAGTTAATTGGCCACATTCAAGCAAGGTTATATTATATACTGCATTCTGAAACTTCCTTCTCATCAAACTACATTGTCTAATGAAAGGTATAAAGAGTGACAACAGGATCATAGAGTTGTTCCTTCTCTTTCTTTCTCTCTGTCTCTCTTTCAGCTATTAAACAGATAATTTATGTTTAGAGAAAATGTTTCTAATGTAGAAATATAAATGTCATAATATAGATAAATAAATATTCTTTAAATTATAGAATGTAAGACACTGAATTGGAGAAACTAACAGCATTTTCCAGTTTTAAAAGATCGATATCATTTTCATTACTTCCTGGATATTCTTAAAATATGTCTTACCCTCTAAAAGTGAAGAAAATTTCTGGCCAATGACACGATCTTTGCATGTTTTTGCAGCCACTGTACCACAAGGTTCATAATGCCAGCTGCATTCCCCAGGTGCATTGTAATAATCACAGTAGACAGCTATAATTGAATTATATCAAATTACTTTCATTCATTATATGACAATTTTCACCTTTCATTTTTCCAAAGCAATTTTAAAAGGGATTTTGGACAATATTAATACACAGACTTAAAGTATATCATTTCATCTTACCAAGTTCTTTTGGCTTCATCTAAATTGCCATATAAGCCAAAATAGCTCACAAAAAAGGGGGCATATAAGCTCAAAGGAGCACTTCCTTTTGACATCTCACACTAAGGTTGGTTTGAGGTGGAAAGGTAAACAGTAATTTTCCCATTTGGAGATATTTTAGGTCATAGTCTAGATTCATGGTTTTAATGTTGAAGCTTAAATTGGAAAAATAAATCTCTGGAAAAATTAAACTTTTAAATATATAAAATAACAGCTCCTAAATGAGACAACTAAAGATGTCAATATAATTTTTGGCATAATAAACTGGATAAAATGAGTATTCTATTTCAACACTTATCATTTATCATATATTCCCTCATAACACCTTGCTTAGAAGGAAAGGAGTTGACTGATATCTATGAAGGTTATCACAGTACATATATATCAAGATTCAGTTTACATTCAATTTACAGTTCATCTTCACTAGGGTTCTATAAAGTTTTCAAGGAAACATAACATGTGAGAACTTTAACAAAAGTAATATATGATGTAAATGTTTAAGGACATATGAATATGCCAAGGTAAGTAAACAGTTCATTGTTCATCTAAGTATGAGTAAGAAATATTCTCCATCAGTATTCAATTCTTTTCCCTGTGAACACAAGAATTCTTGAAACCAAATGTGAACTAGAAATGCTGTGCCAGGTGCTATATTTTTTAAATCAGGTGTTTTTCACATCATAAACAAAAATATTAACATGTTTTTAAACCTTTCTCAGTACAAGATATGTGTTTTATAGAAAATATAAGAGGAAGATGGATGTTGTCTAACAAAACAATCCTATCTAATTACATTTTTTAAAGAACAACAACATATGGACTTCACTTACGACACAGATTTGGTTTTCTCCAGGAGACACAGACCCCAACTGCACCACATGCCTCTGCATACATAGCCACAGCAGTGCAGAATCCAAGGTACTTCCCCTCCATGTCGCACGCGCAGGCTTCTTCAATGCATGCGTCATAGTAAGCACTTGGGTCAACCTAGGGAGAGCACAACGCATGAGTGTCTCGGAGGAAACCCTGCGCAAGTGGTCGCTTTCAGAGCAGTGCTACCTTGTTGTGGCAGTCTCTGAAGGTGCTGTCTCTGATGATCTCACATTTCCGCACAGCCCAGGCTTTGCAGTATGGGTTTGAGTCACATGGGAAACTTTGAGTTACTGTGTCTGAACATTCTTGACTTGTTTTCCAACTGTTTCCAAATTCCAGTGCTCCAGCAGCTACTGATGAGTATCTTGTTGTGAAATCATCCTTGAGATCGCCATTGTTATTTCCGCAAAGACCACACACTTTGCCCTATATTGATCAGAAAAGGAAATTTGAAAATGAGTTGTACTAGGGACATTGTGATTGACAGACAGATGGAGAGACAAACAGATATCACAATTATGTATATTGTATGATGAATGTGTGTTAAATTCCAAATTTTGAAGGAAACCAGAATTTGTGGATAAGCTTCTACTCCCGTTTAAGGTATCCCATATTGCAAAACAATCTAGCATCAAGTAGAATAAATGCCTTAAGAACCAAAAATAATTATATTTGCTAGTTTCAAATTATACATGAGTGTTCTCAAAATACCTGCTCTAAGGAACACATTTAATTCTAAGTATACCAACTACCTCAAAATCATATCATGTGATAATCTCAAGTAATGAAATATGGTTAAATTGGATACCTCACATTTATCACATTTACTTTCTTATCAGATTTTATCATCTTTGATTACATTTCATATCTCATGACAAAATTGAAGAGAGGTGGAAGGCTTGTTACTATAACAGAGATCTTACCATTCTCCCACTCTCCACCTATTAGAGAATACCTGTCTCTAATTTTTAGTAACAGAAATGACTTTGCTTCCCCATTATTCACTTATTAGTGATATACATACATTCCAGCTTGGATCCAGTATAACAGACAGTCTTGTATTTTTGTCCCATATAATGATTATTCCATTTAGAAATTTCAGAATCAAGTACAGGCCAACAGTATGTATGGAGTATGCATTTGTCTTAAGTTCACATTCTTTATTTTCTGTAGTTTTGATTGCTGTTACTTTACCATCTTGCAAGACAACATTCTGATCCTATAAATTAAAAGACAGATTTACAGCAACAGTTTTATTGGCTGTTCATATTTTGAGAGAAAAAGTAAATAAAGAGAAGTAGTACTGTACCTGAAAAGCAACTATGATTTTTCTTGAACATGTAAGCCCATCTTCACAGCATGGGACACTCTCAGTCAAAATACGAAATGTGCCATTTTCACCACCACAATAATCCTTTAAAATTAGATTATGGTAATAAGTTTATGAATATCAGAGAAACAGAATGCAACTGCAATAGTGTGTCAGACAAATATTCTCACAGAGAATATTTGCCTTAAACTCAATAAATCATCATATGCTATGTTATGGAACTTCCAAAAGACAAAAGTTTAACTGCATTTATGGGTAGGTAGCCTTGGCCAAGTCCAATCTAGTTAACTTGCTTTGAGTCAGCCCTTTTTCTGTTACTCTACACAAGTTTAGAATTATACAATAGATACATAAATATTTAAATTATATATGTTTGTAATCATAGATTTATTTCTAGCCTCTGTGAATAGCTAGATAAAGGCGGGTTATTTTCCTCAGAGACTTATATGAAACTTGATATTTAATCAAGACTTGCATAAATACAAAAAAATCCAAATTTCACCCCTTAAGTGTTATTTAGGAAGCAGCTTAGTTGTATGTAACAAGTATGAACTCTGGAATCAGACAGGTATAGGTTTGAATATAACATTTTCTATTTAGTAGCTGAAGTTGCTTAACCTATCTAAACCTCAATTTATCATCTGCATCATAGGAATAATAATACCAGTCTTAAAGTATTACAATTATTAAATGCAATCAAAGATATAACTTTGCTTGGTAAAGAAGCATACATAAAATGGTAGCTGTCATTTTTGCTGTTGGTGTTGATGTTGGAATAATAATATCTAACACTTATTGAGCCCTTAGTATGTACTCTGGTGTGTGCTCTAGTTTGATTTCAAGTAGGGACTATTTTCATGCCTGTTTTACAGATAAAGAAACTGAGACACTGAGAGGTTAAGGAACGTGCCCAAAGTCACACATCTGATAAATGGCGGAGCCAGCACTGAAATCTAGTCCTAGCCTCCAGAGTCAGCATTACATGGTATAACATTTTACTGCCTTCTAGAAACATACAAGGGCCCTTTTTAATATAATTGCTATTTTGAAAATGAAATTCTCCAGAACTCATCTATAAATGAGTAATAATTGAGAAATATGGAAATATGATAAAGCATACTCATAATTACCTCAAGAAATGAATACTGGCAGAGACCATCAAAGCTGTAACTCTTCCCATCAAAAGTTCTAACGTGACCTTCCCCATAAATGTGGCAGGTAGTCTGACATTCATTTTGTGTACAGCTCCAAGCCCCTTTTATGCAAGTACTAAAAGGAAAATATGAGAGTGTGGTAATTATACTATGTCAGGATTCATACACTCATACTGCTTTTGTAAAGAAGCACAAAGTAATGTTTCATGTTGATTTAAATTTTGCAGTTATCTTCATTATAAGGTATGATAGTCATTATATATAATGCTATATAAAGTTTCCACTTTTATTTTATAATTTTTTTAATTGCAATAGATTAAGGCAGTACAAAAGATTTTTTTGTTATATGGATGAATTGTATAATGCTGAAGTCAGGGCTTTTAGTGTACACATCACCAGGGCAGTGATGGTCATAGCGATTTAAATTTTGTAGTTGTGTTCATCATAATATATTTGTTATATATGATGTTATATAAAGTTTCTATTTTTAAAAACATAGCATCTTTTTCTAACTACATTTCACCATTATTTTTTTCAAATATCCTAAATTATGATTTCTTCTTTCCCATGAAAATAAGAGTAGACTGTATATTTTCTAATATCCAAAACAAATAAAATTGTAATCCTTTGTTAAGCACCATTCATTGCAGCCAACTGAAGTGACACTTCCTTGGTCATATTCTTGTCCACCAAAAGAGCATGGGCAGTCATCAGGAAAGACACATTTTCCTTTAGAATTTCGAACCATTCCTTCTGGACAGTAGCACCCACGTTTGCAAGGCAAGTCCTCCTACAAGAATGAATACAAAATATACACCATGAAGCACCATTCTAATCATGTCACATTATCAGCATTAATTTAAATACATAAATATACCAAGTATAGATTTGGAGTCAACATCTGACAAGTGAAAATTATATACAAAAATAACACGACCTTCAAATTATTTTTCACTGAAATTTTAGTTTCCTTATGCCCTGAAGTTTTCAAAGCCTAAACCCTAATGCCTTGCCACTTACACCAAAAGTAGGTATGTTCCGAGTGCTACATGTTCTGTCAATTGTACTCTGTGCCTTGGGATCACTGCAGTCTACATACTCAGCCCCTCCAGAACAATTTTCTGCAGAATAAAGGAAATTATTGTTAATCAAGGGCCTATTGATCTGTTTATTTTAGCCAAAGTAGATATTTTAAGCTGTGCCATGACTTCAGCACTTACGTAGAGTTAAATCAATGGGAATCTGGCACTGAAGAATTCCATCCTGACAGACGCTGGAAATAAAGCAAAATTATACATGTAAACATCAAATTATTTCAAGGACAATTAGCTAGATAGATGAGACATAGTCCCCAGAAGATGCATAAGATGTACCAAAGCATAAGATATAGCCTTGTAAGCATTACAGGAATGTACAAACAAGGTTCTACGGACATCAGAGAAAACTTTATGGAGAGGATGGCTGGATCTTGATGAGTAAGTAAGATTCAATAGATACTGCTGATAAGATGTAAAACTGTGAGACAGGAAAGAACAAGATATATTCCAATGACTTCAATGAGTCATGCTTGGATAGAAGACAGTGCACAATAGGAAGATGTGGTATAAGTAGGTTGAGGTCAGATTTTGGATGGACTTAAATGACTTGCAACTTTGTTTATATTCTTCAGGCAACTTTCAGCCACAAAAGTTTCTGAGCATAAAGGTGGCTCTATCAGAATAATGCTCTATGTTAGCCATTCTTGTTGCAGTGCAGGAAACATGAGACAGAGACAGAGAGAGACAGAACAATGAACAACCAAGTTAGCTATCACAGCAGTGCCAACAAGAGCTGAGGGGGGTCTGAAACACAGTAGTGATGAAGAGAACCATCATGTATAGGTGCTAGCCTACCATTTATTATCACCAATATGGATGAGTTTGCCTGGTTGCATGACCTCGTCATTTATGTAGCAGTCACACTGAGATTTTGAAACACAGTTTCCTTCATTATTCTGGTACATTCCATCAGGGCAGGTGCATCCATCAACTGGGACATCTTCTACATCACAGCTCCTATCTCTCTCTGACAGTGATCGGCAAGAACTATTGCAGGCTTTTACGTTGTACTTGAAAACTAGGCCACTCGGGCAAGAGTGTTCTGTCAGTACAGAGACAAAAAATAATGAATATGTATACATCCAGGAAAATAAACAATTTTACTTGAACTTGATGTTTACAGATATTATAGAGAATTACCTATAATTGAGACTATGAATTAAGAAAAAAGGTGCTTTTTCATTGTTTTTTGTTGTTCTTTTTTTTCCAGTCAATAATGAGTTCCTACTGTATGTTTAAACACTCTCCTGGGGATAAGGCCCACAAACAGGATAGACAATACACTGCTATCATGTGGTTTATACTCCTGGAGGAAGACAATTGTGGTATGTGCCAGGAAGAAGCAAGATGGGAAATACGAAGTGTGTACAGCTGAGGACCTACATTTAGTCAAGGGGGTGGGTAGATGGGGCACAGAAAGGCAGCCCAAAGAGAGGCAGTTCAATGTCTGGGGAACAGCTTAAGTCAGAAGGGAGGATGATTCTTTCAAAGAGCACATAGAAAAATAAAAGCTATAAAGCCAGAGACAGAATCAGAAGTTAGAACTTATAGGGCCCCCTTAAGGAGTTTGGTCTTTAGACTTAGAGCAATGAGAAGCCATTAACTTGTTTTAGACATTAGGAGTGTCACATGATAAGGTTAGTTTGATTCGGTTTTGCTTTACAGATTACCCTGGTTTCTCCGTGGAAAATGGAATAGAAGGAGCCAACAGTGGATATTAAAGGGAGCTATTGCAATCTCTCAAGAGAAACAAATGGTGGTTTACTGAACTAGGTTGGTGGCAACAGAGATGGAGAGAGATGGAAATGGATTTGAGAGAGATTTTGGAGGTGAACTTGACAGGTCTTATTGATTAACAGGATATGGGCTACAGGGTGTTAAGTATGATCTACAGGAGATGTGTTTCTACAAAGTTTGTTGTTTTCTTTCTTTTTGTAGTCAAGTATTTTTGTGAAATCATATTCAAGTAGTGCAATAAATATTTTAAAACCAAGCAAGGTTTTATAAATATGATAGTCAAGCCTGTAATTTATAGATTTACTTTTATTTGTTTTTTCCTAAAATAAATTAATATTAGAATATCATTTACAAATGCATTAGCAGTCAGTATATTACTTAAATCTCAGCATATAGTAATCGAACAGAAAGAGATATTTATATATGAATACCTATATAGTCTTTCCTCATTTATATGTGAATATATTAAATCAAGATAAAAGAAATGAACCAAGAAGTAAAAAAAAAAAAATGCAAGGATTGCTCAAGGATTCCAAAAAACCCAGAAAAACCATCTTTGAAAGAATCAGGTACAAATTCATAAATACATGTGCCTAAACCACACACACACACACACACACACACACACACACACACACACACGACTATAGCGAAACTGAGAAGGAAATAGATTATCTGAAGCCTCCATCCTACTTACCACAACGTCCCATTCTCCATCCTGCTATGTAGGTTTCCTTCTCAGCACATGCTTTCACATAGTTTCCTAAAATCGTACACAGGCAATCTTGACTGTTTTCACAAGAGCAAGTGTATTTTTTGCATTCCTTTAAAATAAGAAACAAATTTATACTGCATTATGAAATTATTCAGAAGAATAGGTAAACTGGATATAATAATTCAGTTTATAACCACTCCTCTACCCTGAAAAACGTTTGAACTTTGAAACTTTTAGAAATAGTTTTTAAATATTCAAAATAGCACATGAATTATTAACTCATTTGCAACCTCTGTGGAAAAGAATTTGGAGATATCTCAGAGAGCTAAAAATAGACATACCATTCGATCCAGCAATAGCACTATTAGGCATCTACCCAAAAGAGCACAAAACATTCTACGATAAGGACATCTGCACCCGAATGTTTATGGCAGCACAATTCACTATTGCAAGAATGTGGAAACAACCCAAGTGCCCGTCAATCCATGAGTGGATTATCAAAATTTGGTATATGTTTACAATGGAATATTACTCAATCATAAGAAATGACAGTGATCTAGCACCACTTACACTTTCCTGGATTAAACTTGAGCCCATTATCCAAAGTGGGGCACCACAAGAGCAGAAGAACGGGATCCATTTGTACTCACCATCAAATTGGTATTAACTAATCAACACATAAATGCACATATCAGAACAACATCTATTGGATGCTGGGGAAGGGGGAGGGCGGTGGGAGGAGGGGGGAGGAGGGAGGAGGGAACAGGTAATTGTATACACAAGGAGTGCAACGCGCACTACCCGAAAGATGGACATATTTGAAACACGGACTTGAGGGGGGGGATCCAAGGGCAACACACGTAACCTAAACATCTGTACCCCATAATATGCTGAAATAAAAAAAAAATAGGAAAGACAAAGAGAAAAATTCAAGATTTTCCTCATTTGGGTTTATTTTCTAGTGCTACTGTTTTTTTTTTTAAGTTGACATACCTAATGCTTGAATAAATTAGTGGAATCTAATGTTAAATTTAAGCATGTACTTCAATCTATTGACAATGGCTGTCTGAAATGTTTAATATCTACATGCTTTTGTCAATATCATCAAAGTATTTCTCAAAAGAGATGTTAATGTTAGACCTTCGCGCACCTCATGATAGGGCTTAGGGTTCACAATTGGATGGCAGGAAGCAAAAGGCCCAGTTGAATCAAGAAGAATCCCACATTCCTTTTCAGCAAACTTTTCTGTAAGGAAATTAACATGCCCAAACTTAGTATCAATAACATCACAAAATTTTTAATTGAAAGAAAAGATGTAAATTTTTAACAGAATTTTGTGTTTGTTAAAATAATCTTAAAGTGATTTGCTGTAATAAATCTAATTTGTTATCACTATATACAAAAATAGCATGATATAATTATAAACATCTTACACTAAGAGGTAGTCTTTAGTAACTTTGGATGTTTTTATCAAATCAATTAACCTTTCTCTGAAATGCGGTTTTTACATAAAAATGAGAATAAGGGGACCTGATTATATCTTTAGGTGACTTTTAACTTTAAAATATATATTTATGGCTAAATTGTGACAAGTTGGTAAATAAACCAGCCACAACACGCTTCCCCTCCCTCATCAGCCTGGAAGGTCCTATACGTTTTTCTGAAGGTCAGGTATTAGAACAACCAGTATCACTAACTGAAATATACTAATTTTATTTTTTTTGAAAAGTGTTTAATTGGTATTTGGTTTATAAATAACTCGCCTAATACTGAATTTACAAAAAAATAAAATTCATAAAAATATAATAGCATCTGAGTAGCAACTGCTTTGCTTAATGATTTTTGGCAATAAAGGAAACATTCTATTAAAAAGACAGATGGATTATTTCTAAAATTTTGACAAATTGGTAACCAGATATCACCACTTTCTATGTAAATATTACTAAAAACTTATTAAAGTGCAATTTTCTGCATTTAAAATTAAATTTAATTAATTTATATGTCTCTCCAGAGTGGTGGCATACAGTCTGCTCAGAATAAACTGGGTTGGTTTCTTATGAGTATACATTCTTTTTGTCTATTCTCACTATAATTGTTTTCATTGCAACACCCCCAAGACAAAATAACATAACAATCAAAACCCTGAAATATGTATTACCATGTTTATGTTAATGCTTCTACCCACTCATTTTAAAAATCAAACTTAGTAGAGGAAGTTTCAAAAGGAATTGCTTTAGTAATTTTAAAATATTATCATAAACTGATCAGATTATTTGTTTCAAATATGTGGATTAATTGAGAAACAACTAATTAGCATGCCAATATAATGTATTTTAACCTGGCTTCGTTGCATTTCTTATTTATGAAAGAAGCAATATAAAATAAAGCACTCATTAGTATCAACAATACTAGAGGAATAATCAAAGCATGGCTTGGATTCAACATACTTGGATTGAAACTTTATCTGTCATCCTTATTTACACCTCTCTGGACTCCATTATCAACATCTGTATTAATGGGATAATAACCCCACCCATGTCCTTTATTAGTTTTAGTGAAAATAAACTGAACGATGAAAGTCTTTTGGTAAACTGAAACATAAACTGGATCATACCAATGTAAATTTTAATTAATAGGATCTATATTTGGGGCTTTGCATTACTTATATATATACAAAAGCAATGGTTAGGACACCTAGACATAGCTACAGCTTTGTCATCAAGTGCCTGCAACAGTTTGGGTGAGTCTTGCTATTTATACGTAAAAATGATCATTTCTACAACTAAATTAAAGGAGAGAAAAATAAGAAACCAGATGATCTCCAAAGTCTCTTCTGATCCTGTTATTCTATAATTATGGAGAAAAGTGTGTAAGAAGGGAAAGAGTAGGTATAGGAAAAGAAAACCAAGATTAGCCCCCAGTGAAAGTTGTATTTTCTAGGGTCTGCTCAGCCAGCCAGGCTGCTTCTCTGCTGTTTGCTCTAAAATTGGGACAGTACAACAAACACTAGCTAAAATCAGGACTATCTAATATGCTCATAGTATTACCAGCGTGAGTACATAATTCCTAGCACCAAATATGTAATTACAGAGTTTGATATTCAATTAATATTACCTTTTTCTATACTGATACATGAAGCGGGGTCTCCTTTAGGACAAGACGTCATTTCCCAAGAGCTAGCAAATGCCTGAGATGTCTTCTCCAATATATTCTGACTTGACATGAAATCATCCTCCGCTTTGTTGTTGTAGGAGCCGCAGAGTCCTGTATAATAGCACAGAACAAAGTTTAACAGCTCCTAGCATACTCAACTTTTTGAATTCATAGCCTAACTTGAGTTCTTTGCTCAAATCAGAACCTGTAAAACCTGCAAAAGCTACCTGAGAATATGTCCTGGGTCCTTCCTACCCATGAGGCACATTTTTTCCCTATGTGTCAATATATTACCTTCTCAAGTGAAGGTGCATTGCAAAAGTTTGTACCATTTATAAATTAGTAGCTCTTTGTGGGACTTGCCATAATTGTTTTGTTTATTTTGTTCAACATCCATGGCTGTATGTAAGACTGATTTCTGTGACAGAAAATATCAGTGAAAGACATGACCATGTAACCTATCAGAAAAACAAGTAATAGTGCAGTTTGTATTTGAAATGGGATTTTCAGAAGATTTGTATTCATAATATTTTCATTTATTCAACTATAGGGCAAGGCCTTAGTAATTTATACTAACAAAGTGATATATTGACATATTATCAAATCTCATTTAAACAAAAGCCTTACTTTAATATTTTTTAAGTGCTTAAATTGTTAAAAAACCCTTTTGGGAATAGATTTTGCAATAAATAAAATGCCTTTACAATGAAAAGCAAATTGGAATTATTTTACTACAATGTGGAAGGGAAGATTAGGTCAAAATGCTTTATTGTTTAGTGTTATTATTGCAGGAACAAAGGAAATTATAATAAATGATGGTCACGTTAAAGCCTTGGGAATAAAAATATATCCAGTGGACTTACCTACAGTGTCTGTAAATTGATTGGGTGGCATGGAAACATATAATTGCATCACAGGAATGATTTGTATTTGCATTTTTACATGACAGTATGTTTCTACTTGAAGATATGAGGAAGATGCATTGAAGATCTGTATTTTATCTGTTAAATAATTATTAACATTAGTAACAATTAACATGTTCAATAGTTTTTAATTTCTTTTTAAGATCTGTTAAAAAACAGAAACATTTAATACCTTTAAAAATTGAATAAATGACTATATCTTACACTTATTTTAAAACGCTGTTATTAAACTTACCTGAATAATAATAACCTTGATTTCTGATCTTGTCATTTGTGACTGTTCCATCTCTGTTGAATATGTATTTGTCAACTGAAACAGACTAATATTTAAAACACTTTGTTAGTTCAGATTAATTTACAGTATTAATTTTTAATGTAATATGTAAACCTGAATTTTTGTGCTGTGAAACATGTTTAATTTTATTGAATTAATTTATAAATATCTATATTTTAGAATATTTTTAAAGCATTTCTAATATTTTGCTTCATTATTTCTCACACAAACTCTGTGTAGTAGATTGTAAAGGAAACTTCTCCAATTTGTAGGTGCAGAAACTAAAACCCAAGAAGGTAACTTGGATTTCCAAAGATCAAACAGCTTGTAAGTGCTAAAGTACAGGCTAGTTGTCCTCCCTTTCCATTTAGGTCTATTTCTACTTATAATGTCAGTTCCAAATACATAAAATTCTAAACAAATGTCATTGCCTTTCTTATTAAATGGTCCACAGAGTTTAACAATTCATCGAGGTTGATCCGCAATTAGCATATTAATCATGTATCTATAATAATTTTTATGTACTTCAGGATCTTTGGAACTACCAGCTCTTCTACAGACTTTTTCAATTTTCTGTGCATCTTACTTATGCTTTTAATATACACAGTAAAGCCTCGCTTCCTCAACCTTAAAAATTTTGAATTTATGAAATGATTGATATAATTTGAATAAACCTTAGAATGCTGATTACTTACAGAATTCAAGAGAAGTGTAACACTATTTAAGCATGTTCCTGTCTGACCACTTGGACACGGACGAAGCTCAACACTAACAGACCAGTCTTTATCCTGTTAAAAAAATACATATCATTAAAATGTTATTTATTGTATGCTATTACTGTGTGATTCAGTGCTTCATTTACAATGCCCGTTTGAATTTTAAGTATGAATAATTTCCACACACTCAGTCTGTTCTGAAAATAGAAACCTAGTTTAGTCCACAATACAGTCTCAGGATTGGCCAAGAACTTTCTAGTTTGGTCCAAACAGCTTGAATAAACTATGTCTATGTAGTCTACAATTGATGGATTTTCATAGTCATCATTTTTTTTCTTTTATCTTTACTCTTTGTCCTTCCCTCAAAGGGAATTGGGCTGCCTTGCAGAAACTAGTAGGAATTAGAGGTAGCTTAGCTTGTTTATTCTCGGAACAGTTCACAATGCCTATTTAAATCCAATGTGAGAGGTATTTACCTTGTAAAAGGATAATATAAGTCATCTCAAACACTGGCTTCTGGTTCTCATTTCAAAGTCTAGAAATCTCTAATTTACAAGAAGCAAATGTTCCATATGCTTTGACATTTTTCCCCTCTCACTTTCCTCAACCCTTATTCTGATGGATTAAGAGAGCACCATAGAAAGTAGGAAACGTAAACTACGTCGATAGGGAATCAGGAAGCTTTATTTTAGAATACTGACTTTTACTGGCAGCAACTACATTTTGCAGCTTACTGGACATTAACCCACATCTCTCACTTCAGGATTCACAAATTCTGCTCATCTGCATTTCTCACCAGGAAGATTAAATACAATTGCTAATTCTCATGTTAACTAAAGGCACAAGCTACAAAATGGAATCAACCTTTCATTGAAATTCAGAGTAATTGAAATTTTAGTACTAAGAGGAATTTAAACATAAGGATAGCCCCTATTATACTGGCACTATTGTATTATAAAAACTAAAAATAAATTTAAGAGAATGACGAAAGAGATGCTTCATATAATGTAAAATACTGTTTTATTTGAAGCAGTGGTGAACATGCAAAGAGAAGTATAATGAAATAATTTTCGGGCCGGGCGCAGTGGCTCACGCCTGTAATCCTAGCACTCTGGGAGGCCGAGGCAGGCGGATTGTT